TTTGACTCTTGATCTCTTGGAGATCATGAGATCGACACCCCTGTCAGACTCTGTGCTGAATGTAGAGCCTGCTTAGGATTCTCTCTCTCCTTCTCTCTCTGCCCCTCCCCTGCTCATGCACGTGCCTGCTCACTCTCTCGCTCTCTCTCAAAAATAAATTTTAAAAAATTAGGATATGTAAAACCAATTTATTTCCTAAGAATCCTGAATACTTGTTGATTTTTCAGTATATGCATATTTAGTCCTGGCATTCTGAACTCAAAAGCCCAGTAGAGTATTAGTTTTATAGTGATTTGTTGCCCTCTATTGCTTTTCAAGTAAGTTATTTTTCTTTGTAAATAGATTATGCACTTACATTTGGATAAACCTTCTTTATCAGCAATTGGTTTTTTTTCTATAAAGGCCCTTTTATTTAAAATGTTATATATGTATATACACTGATTTCTTAACTTTAGGGATTTTTTTGTCCAAATTCGGGGAATTGAGAAGGTATGTTTTTGTACCTTGATTTCATGCTTATTTGATTATATCTTGTATTTAAAAAAATTCTATACATATATATGAGTGTGTGTGTGTGTATATAAATACTTTTTTTTTTTTTTTAGATTGAGAGTATAGGCTGGGGAGGGGCAGAGGGAGATGGAGAGAGAGAATCTCAAGCAGGCTCTGTGCCCAGTGTGAAGTCCTACATGGGGCTCATCTCACCACCAGGAAAACATGAGCTAAGCCAAAACCAAGAGTCATACACTTAACCAACTGAGCCATCCAGGTGCCCCTGAAAAGAAATATTTTTTAAAAATCTGAAATTTAAAATCATGGAAAAAAGTGTCATAAAGTTCTTTATTCAAAATACTTTAGAAGACTCTGTTTTATTTATAATGTACTACATAAAATTTAAACTCCTTAACATGGGGTCTGCCCACCTTTCTGGCCCATGCCTACCTCTCCCATCCCCCTCCTGTCACACACCCTACCTATTCCCATGCATTTCAGTCTCAAATAATGAAAAACTTGTATTGCTGGTAACAGGCTGTGTCCTTTCAGTCTGTGACTTTGCACGTGTACTCTTGTGGCAATCTAAAATGCTTTCCTCATCCATCTCACCCATGTCCAAGCTACCTTCTCTGCAAAATCCCTACTAATCTATAATATTCTCCTTACATTTTATCTTGCTGGTGCCTTCTCTAACTTCCTCAGGCAGTTGGGACAATTCCTGTGACTCTTCCAAAGTGCATGTTCTCTCTGATAACAACTTTTCCATTTTCAAAGTTGTTTTTAACTTCATTCCCCAATAAACCATGAGTCCCTCAACAACCAAAGAGAACACATTTTATTTACTTTAGTTTTCATAGCATGTTTAGTCTAGAGCCTAGCACAAGTAGATATTTCTCAAAAAAAAAAAAAAAAGGTGGAGGGGGAATAACAAGGGACAAGGGATTCCTTACTTAAGCTGTAGATGGCTGTACCATTTAAATAGGAATATTAGGAGTCTGGGGAACTAGAAACAGCTACTTAGGTGCCAGCCTCTGAGCCACTCAGTACTATTCCAGACTTGTGTGTCAGCCTTGCATTGCCAGTGCTACCTTCAAGATTCAGCTCTTGAAACTAGCACTGCTTTATAAGGCTCATTTACTTGCCTCCCTAAGAGAACTCAAACCCCTTTTTCCATCCCCATCTGGTACCATTCCTGGATAATTCATAATAGCTTGAAAAGATAGTGTGGGTGTACTTTACAGGTTTATTAGTAATATTTAACACTTACTGAGTGCTTACTGTATGCCAGTCTCTTTGCTTACATGTTTTTCATATATTGCCTCATTTAATACAACAATTTGATGAATTTGCTGCCATTATGCCAATTTAGCAATCTAAGAAGGGGTGGAAAGAATGAAGTTCAGTGAGATGAATTAAACTGCCCAAGGCAGCTACTTACTAAGGCAATGAGATTTTTTTTTTAATGTTTACTTATTTATTTTGAGAGAGAGACTATGCGTGAGCACAAGCAGGGGAGGAGCAGAGAGAGGGAGAGAGAGATTCCCAAGCAGGCTCCATGCTGTCAGCGCAGAGCCCAACATGAGGCTCGTACTCACAAACCATGAGATCGTGACCTGAGCCGAGATCAAGAGTCAGATGCTTAACCAACTGAGCCACCCGGGCACCCCGCCCTCCCCACCCGACAGGGAGAGTTTAAATCCTGTGTAACTTCAGACCCATTTTTCTTATTCACCACCAATGAGTATCACCTGGCTATAACTGAAGCCCAAACAGCAGAATGGTCATAGTGTGCACTTTGAAATCATCTAGACCTGGCTTCAAAATCCATAGCAAATAACTTCACATCTCTGGCCTTCAGTTTCCTGTAGGTCATTTTACATTATCATATGTAAAATGGTAATGCCTATCCTGAAAGGGTTATTGCCCACCTAAGTGTATGATATATGCGGACTAACAGTAATGTTAGCTCCATTCCCTTCTTCTACGCTTCTGTTTATGTGAGCTCTGAGGTAATGGTTTGTACAGCATAAGGCCTGACATAAGACAAATAAGAAAGTTAGCATCTTCTGTCTTCTAGTTAGTACTACCATAGTGCCAACCAGTGCCTGGCTTCCATGATCTCCAAGTGTTTTATGACTATGATCACATTTACTCTTTTAATGAGAAGAGTGTGTCTTGAATATTTAATGGTTGTTAACTGCCCATAAATATACCGTAGTAGGATAAAGATTAGAATCCATGATCTCTCTACTGTACTAGACTTCTCTCTTGGTAATTCTTAGGGAACATATGAGATTCTGAGATGTTATTTATTATATAAAATAGGTGCCCCTATGATTCCATACCATGGACCTGTTATTACTATTCAACAAAGCAAACTATAAACACAGCTGCTGTTTTAGTGTGGCTTGTGGTTTTGTTTTGTTTTTATTTGAACTTTTTTATGCAGGCAGATCACCATTTAAAAGTAGTCATTTGGCATTTCCCTTGCATTCTTCAAATTTTTTTGTATGTTTTAAAAAGCTTAGCTTAAGTCACTTCTATAATTATGCACACAGATTGATCCATCTGGTCTTTTTAGTAACCAATGAATTTTCATTTAAAAGTATAGGAAATAGAATAATTATATTTTAAATCCTATAACTTCAGTGGGACTCTTTTATAAACTTGAAGAAACATTTTCAACTATTAAAAATAGTTTTATATTCTTTACTGTCTTCCAGTTGATTTCTGTATTTCTAGAGATGCGAGAGGGCTTGAAATTTCTATTTCTATTTTTTAACTCCTTCATGTGTTAGAACTCTGAAGCATACTGTAAGCACTTGTCTGCAACTGACCAGTGGAAATGTGTGCCCAAAGTAGGCCCTATTGCCCTCTAGCTCCTACTGGCTGTAAGGTGAAAGAAAGATGGATTGTAGGGGGCAAACCTAGATCTAGGGAGACAATTTAGGCTTTAGCAGTCTAGACAAGAAATAGTAGTGGCCTGACCCAGGGTACTAAGACTGGTAGTGGAGTATACAGATTCAGGGAATAGAATTAACAAAGTTGATGGATTAGATTTTCATGGGTATGACATACAGGAGTCAGAGAAAGAAAGTTTCTGGATTTAATTACTTGTGATTTTAATTATCCTATACCCAACAAACACATAATCTTCATACTCTTGACTTTGCCTTGTAAGGACAAGGGCCATGTCTATTTTATCCCATTATCATATTCCCAGGACCTAACATGGTCCTGTAGAACAGCCCCAGTACATTTTTTTTTTTTTTTTTAGCCCCAGTACTTTTTTAGTGAATAAACAAAGTGTCATTTATGGCTGTTGTCCACAGTGCCTGAAGTTACCTGAGCCTTTGGTTCATTTCTCTAGCCTGACTTTCGTTTCTTTTTTATTTCTTTAGTGTCTCTCACTTTAACTTTTTTACTGCCTTTACAGTGTAGCTTACTGAATAAAAGAAAATATAAACATAAGTAGCAAGAATGAACTTGTGCTTTGTGGGTTTTGTAGTATCTTCTAAAGAATCCCCGAGATTGTTGACATCTTTAAAAATTAGGGCATCTAATCATAATACTACTTAATATTTTTAAAAATATTACAAGTACTCTAACACTGTACTAACAAAGAGAGTCAGTGGGTCTCATTTGTGTGTAGATCAATTCATTTCAATCAGAAGTATTAGTGGGTTATTTGATAAAGTAGATGAATCATTCAAATTCATCCTATCTCAGGGAAAATGCATTGATGACACTTTATATTATAGTGAATATATACCTAAATTATACTTTCAAAGCAGAATGGTCTATGAAGTCACTTAGACAATAATCAGTACAAAGAGGGAAATTACAAAGATTAAGAAAAAGACTAAGCCATGTAATTTCCCATTACCACAGAGTGCAGATAGGGAGTGAAAAGGAAGATTTGACTTCTCTCGCCTTTAGTCATCTTTAAAATGAGAGCAATGGACCTGTGATCTAAAAGATCCTTTCCAGCTCAGATTCTCTTGTTCTAGAAAATAGAAGAGAATGATAAAGGTGATATGTGATGGGAATTTTAGTTTCAGTTACAATTTACTGTTCATTCTTCCCATAGCTTCAGCTCTGTCTGATAAAACCTGACTTTTAAAAAATCTAGTAAAATAAAATGTTTTTAGTTAGTGATTTTATTAAATATAATTAAATTCAAGTGGTTTTTTTGGTTTGTTTTTTTTGTTTGTTTGTTTTGTTTTTTTGTTTTTTTCTAATTTCTGCTTTGGAATTAGTTCCTTCAGCCTAATTTGGAGCAACAGTCTCCATTAAAATATTTAAGATAAATACTTGCCCTAACAATTCAAACTACAGAAAAAGTTTTTACATTTAGTAATGCCATAAATGTACTCTTCTATAGTTGTTTTTGTTTTAACATATGTTTTTTTTCCCCCCTTCGGTTTAGATTTCTGCTTTGGGACAGCCACGCATCTAATTCCTTAAAACAGTTTTGTATGTAAAACTTGTAAAGGATCAGAACAATGCCTCCGAGACCATCATCAGGTGAACTGTGGGGCATCCACTTGATGCCCCCAAGAATCCTAGTAGAATGTTTACTACCAAATGGAATGATAGTGACGTTAGAATGCCTCCGTGAGGCTACATTAATAACTATAAAGCATGAATTATTTAAAGAAGCAAGAAAATATCCTCTCCATCAACTTCTTCAAGATGAATCTTCTTACATTTTCGTAAGTGTTACCCAAGAAGCAGAAAGGGAAGAATTTTTTGATGAAACAAGACGACTTTGTGACCTTCGGCTTTTTCAACCCTTTTTAAAAGTAATTGAGCCAGTAGGCAACCGTGAAGAAAAGATCCTCAATCGAGAAATTGGTATGACACAGTTTTTAACTAAGTGGCATTGTCGTCCTATTCTAAAAGCAAATAACTATGAAACTTAACTATTTTCTCATTACTAAAATATTTCTGTCTGAATCAGTTAATTACCTTTGTAATCTCAGGTAAATAGATTTTGAAATAAAAACCATTACAAATCTATAATAATCTTTTGATTATTTGGCTAAGAAACTATTTTTAACACCTTGGTGTTAAATTTTTCTTTAAGAAATATCATTTGTAGGGTTGGCTTAGATTTGTTATAGTCCAGTTTTGTTGTATTACTCTTCAAAAAAAAAAAAATTACACGGATGTTTGCTACCTCTGATCCAAATCGCTGAATATATTATGTTCTGTATGTTAAAGATATTTGAGTCCTTGTCAACTCTTACTTTACTATATGTATTTATTAAAATTTCTTTAAACCCAGAGAGACTTCTTTACTCTATTGTGATCTTCCAGATCTGTCAAATTCCCCATTTGTAAGAAACATGTTCATACTTTATGTTTGATAGAATGTTATATTCTTTATGTAATTTTTTAAGGTTTTGCTATTGGCATGCCAGTGTGTGAATTTGATATGGTTAAAGATCCAGAAGTACAGGACTTCCGAAGAAATATTCTGAATGTTTGTAAAGAAGCTGTGGATCTTCGGGATCTTAATTCACCTCATAGTAGAGCAATGTATGTCTATCCTCCAAATGTAGAATCTTCACCAGAACTGCCAAAGCACATATATAATAAACTAGATAAAGGTAAGAAAATTGTCAATCTACCATAATTGGTTACTATAATAAAAATTTCTATCTGTGCCTATACATTTGTACAGTCTTTTTACTAGATGCTGGATGATAAGCTTCTTGAAGGCAGGGACTGCTTATGCTGACAAGATATAGCTGATTGCCAAATACATATGTATGTAATGAATATTTATTGATTGAATGAATTGTGTGCATATGGTGCTGATCCCTTGGTGAATTCTGTATCTTAGAATAAAACTAAAGAACTTTGATTGTGAAATTCATTATTACACAGTTACGATCAATTATCTTTTTACCAAAAAAATTATAAATAGAAATACTTTATGAAATTTTGGGAAAACTTTGCACATTCTTGTTATCTTTTATCATATGTAGAAAGAAAAACAAATTTCTTAGTGGTAAATGCAATAATTAAATCTGATAGTGAATAATATATAGATTGACTTTTGATACTTAATGAATCAATTTCTAGAATTAAGTGAACATGGAAATTTATAAACTATATTATAGTTTGGGAAATGAAAATATCATTGTATCAGATAAATATCTGTATTTTCCAAGATAACAAAGTGAAGGCTTCAATTTGAAGTTACAGAATAAGTTAACTCTCACACACAATTAAATACAAAATTTTGATAGTAGAATACGTTAAGACATCTTACTACTATTCCACCCAAAATATTCAAAGTAGTTTAATGCAGTATAACATAAGATCTTCATTTGAAAATCTTCTCTAGTATACCTTTTAAAATGGAATTCTCTTGGGAGCACCTGGGTGGCTCAGTGAGTTAAGCGTCCACCTTTGGCTCAGGTCATGATCTCATGGCTTGTGAGTTCAAGCCCCGCATCGGGCTCTGTGCTGACAGCTTGGAGCCTGGAGCTGCTTCTGATTCTGTGTCTCCCCTCTCTCTCTACTCCTCCCCCTGCTCATGCTTTGTCTCTCTCTCACAAATAAATAACCATTAAAAAAAATTTTTTAATGGAATTCTCTTTTCATTTTTTTCCAACATTCTTTATGAAAATTTTCCAACATGCAGAAAAGTTGAAAGAATTGTACTGTGAACACCCAGACCACTCTACCATCGTTTAAATCTTTCCATTTTCATCATCTTCCACCCTTCTCCCAGCATAATTTATCTTAAAAGGAAAACATTTAAAGATTCATACTCTTTTCCTTCCTCCACCATCTTTTCTTTTATTCTGATTCAGCATTTTCTTCATGTCTCCATGATTCTTTCCCATAGTTGCCAGAAAGTCTTCTGTATTTTAAGTACTGTTGAACCTTTGATAGCATCATAAGTCACTTTTCACAGGGGTTGTAGTCATGAAGTATGTCATGAAGTTTAGAATGGAAATTAGCTTGGCCTCAGGTACTTGTGACCCACTAATCACAGTGTTGGGTGCTTGCCATAAAACATGAGATCTGAGCATGGTCTGGCAGCCCTATCATATTTGAAGATTTATGGTTTCTACCTGATATTTACCTGTACTTAATTAGTTTAATTATAAGTAATTTCCGATTTTGATTAGAATAATGGTAGTGCATATTTTTTGAAATCTGTCAAATGAAATTTATATGATGATTGCATCTAATAATGTTTTCCTGTTACAGGGCAAATAATAGTGGTGATTTGGGTAATAGTTTCTCCAAATAATGACAAGCAGAAGTATACTCTGAAAATCAACCATGACTGTGTGCCAGAACAAGTAATTGCTGAAGCAATCAGGAAAAAAACTCGAAGTATGTTGCTATCATCTGAACAACTAAAACTCTGTGTTTTAGAATACCAGGGCAAGTATATTTTAAAAGTGTGTGGATGTGATGAATACTTCCTTGAAAAATATCCTCTAAGTCAGTATAAGGTGAGTAACAAGCTTCAAAAATATTAAATTTAAATTTAAAAGTTGGGGCAAATATCTGTACTTTTAGGACATACTTTTTGAAAATTCAGTGATTAATGTTAATGAATGGTATTCATATGTTTATTTTTAATACTATAATTACTTAATTTGAGAGATTGACGATGTGTTTAATTTGAGAGAATAGATGCTTTTTTTCCTTTAGGTTTTATGTATTTAATATTTGAGGCGTAACTGTAGATATATGGATAAGCTGATTAAATTGTTTATTGCGATATAAACAGTGTTGGTGCACCACATGCTCAGTTGGAAGAGCATGTGACTCTTGATCTTGGAGTTGTGAGTTGGAGCCCCATGTTGGGTGTAGAGATTACTTAAATAAATAAAACTTAAAAAAAAAGATATAAACAGTGTTTTCATAATGAATATCCTTTGGTCATTGTTTTTAATTCCTTTTTTTGTTGTTTTTTGCTTACATGTTGCTTTTAAAATGAAATACCTTATAAGAAATTACTTCTCCCCTCCCCTCTTCATCTTTTACAGTACATAAGAAGCTGTATAATGCTTGGGAGGATGCCCAATTTGATGCTGATGGCTAAAGAAAGCCTTTACTCCCAACTGCCAATGGACTGTTTCACAATGCCATCTTATTCCAGACGCATCTCCACAGCTACACCATATATGAATGGAGAAACATCTACAAAGTCCCTTTGGGTTATAAATAGTGCACTCAGAATAAAAATCCTTTGTGCAACCTATGTGAATGTAAATATTCGAGACATCGACAAGGTGAAGTCAAGTGTTGATGCTTATTATCTTATATAAATTATTTTACATAAACTTTTTAACTGCATTGTATATAATAATCTGTTGACCCGCACTGTGTTTCAGAGAGCTACAGTACCGCTCCTCTGCCTTAGCTATTGCACAGTGTACAGTCCTTTTTCTGCAATTCTAATTTCCATAATTCTAATATTCTAATAATTCTAATTTCCATAAATCTAAGTTCTTAAAACCAAGTGTTTACAGAATTCATTTGTCAGCAAAACCTGACCCAACCTGAAACAGGAATTTTTATAGTCTTTTTATATCCCAGTTAGTATAAATATTAATGTGATTTGTTGCAGAAATATTAATGTCTTTATGGAGTGCTGTTCCAGCTGCTAAGAATATGAAGTAATATTTAGTATATGTACTAATTTATCTTCCTAAAATACGAAAAACTCTAAATTACATACCTTATTATATATGTGAAGGGAGAACAGAAAAGCTGTATCTGAACAGAAACCTCTAATAGATTCTTCATTTATATCAGTTACATTATTTTACTATTGGTTCTGTAGTGTGTGTGTGTGTGTGTGTGCACGCCCGCGTGTATTATGTTTGTATATATTTGTATACACATACTTTTTTTTTCTTTTTAAGATCTATGTTCGAACAGGTATCTATCATGGAGGAGAACCCTTATGTGATAATGTGAACACTCAAAGAGTACCTTGTTCTAATCCCAGGTAAGGAAGCCCTGTTAGTGTTTAGCAATGTAATCAATACAAGAAGCATTTTTTTTTTTTTTGGCATCATTAGTTTTATACAACTCATATAAATTACCAGACACTTACATATAGAACATAAGGTCTTTCGGTCAAATGAGTATCAGTCACAAGATCATTTTATGGAGTCTCTGTAAAATTTTATGTGAAAGACTTTTCTGATTCTCTCTTTCCGTTATATCAAGTAGAAAACAGAATATGGTTACATTTTGTACCATGATGATTCCCCACCTTAGATCTAAATGCTAAATAAACCTAGCATTTTATTCATCTCTCCATTTCCATTTACATTAAGAAGAAGTGAGAGTTGGCAGACAACTGCAGAGCTAGACTACTCTGAGGCACTCACATCACTCACAGGAATAGGTATTTATGACATTCAAATGAAGAGTCTTTGGGAACAAATCAGTTTCTTAGAAGGAGGGGAAGTTTTAAGGAACATTTTAAATGATTACTGCCTAGATATAATGAAGAAATAAAAGGTAATATAATCCAACAGTTTGCCATACTGCCATTTCTTTGGCTCTTTGTGGAATGATTTGGGAATTAAGAATCTACCCATGGGGGCAGGGCGCCTGGGTGTCTCAGTCGGTTGAGTGTCCGACTTCAGCTCAGGTCATGATCTCACAGTCTGTGGGTTCGAGCCCCGCGTCAGGCTCTGTGCTGACAGCTCAGAGCCTGGAGCCTGTTTCCAATCCTGTGTCTCCCTTTCTCTCTGCCCCTCCCCCAGTCTCACTTTGTCTCACTCTGTCTCTCAAAAATAAATAAATATGAAAAAAAAATTTTTTTTAAAAAGAATCTACCCATGAATATAATAGAAATATTTTAAGAGCACTCAGATTGTTATTAAGATTAAAGGTGGATTTTTGTAGACTAGCAATAAAGACAACTAGTAAAACATCCAGAAGTAAATTTTATAATGAATTTAGACTGAATTCTAGAAGACTCCAGAAAAAGTTCTGGTCTTGTACTTAATTAAGCTGCTGGATGTGGCCATCATTCTAGGGCTTAGGTGATGTACAAAGAGATGATAGCCTTCTCTACCAGGAAGAAGTGAAATAGTTCCTTGCCCTACCTGAACAATTGTCAGTCAGAAAACACATCATTTAAGTTAGATTGCACTGTGGAACAAACAACTACAGGATCTTTTAAAATTTTGTTATAACAGCAAAAGTTTATTTCCCATCCACACTGCATGTCTGTCACAGGTTGGGTGGGGTGGTTGTGTGAGGAAGAGAAAAACAATGTTTGAGGAAATAATGGCCAAAAATTTTGTAAATTTTGTGAAACCTATAAACAAACTAAGGAGTTCAACAATCCCAAGCAAAGACCCCAAAATAATATTGGGTAGATCTATCCTAGTTGTTTCAAGTATCAAAAGTAAATAAACTAGTTTTATAAAAGTAGAAGGTAAATTTGTTTAATAATACAAGATTAAAAGCTCAAAATTTTAGTAAATTAACTATTTAGAAAGGACTTTCATTTGATTATCTTTTCTTGAAGAATTCCCTAGTTTAGAACAATATACTAGTGTCTCTGATGACCATAGATGCAAAAAATCCTTAACAAATATTAGCAAACCAAATCCAACAATACATTTTAAAAAAGTCATTCACAGGGTCAGGGCACCAGGGTGACTCAGTCAAATTAGTGTCCAACTCTTGATTTCAGTTCAAGGTTATGGTCTCGAGGTTCATGGGTTCAGGTGGCACAGAGCCTGTTTGGGATTCTCTCTCTCTCTCCCTCTCTCTCTCTGTCTCTCTCTGTCTCTATCTCAAAATAAGTAAACTTAAAAAAAAAAATTCCCTACAATCAAGTGAGATTTATTCCTGGGATGCAAGGGGTTCAGTAGTTGCAGATCAATCAACGTGATACTTCACATCATTAAGAGAAAGGATAAAAACCATATGATCATTTTAACAGATGCAGAAAAACCATTTGAGAAGGTACAACATCCATTCATGATAAAAACTCTCAACAAAGTAGGTTTAGAGTGTACTTACCTCAGCATAATAAAGACCATCTATAGAAAACCTGCAGTTAACATCATACTCAATGGTAAAAAATTGAGGTCTTTCCCCCTAAGATCAGGAACAAGACAAGGATGTTCAGTCTCACCACTTTTAGTCAACATAGTACTGGAAGTCCTGGACACAGTAATCATTCAAAAAAAAAAAAGGAATATAAGGTATCCACATTGGCAAGGAAGAAGTAAAACTTCCACTATTTGCAAATGACATGATACTATATCTAGAAAATCCTAAAGACTCTAGCCAACAGACCCATAGAACAAATAAATTAATTCAGTAAGGTCACAGGACACAAAATCAGTGTACAGAAATCTGTTGGATTTCTGTACATCAATAATGAATCAACAGCAGGAGAAAGTAAGAAAGCAGTCCCATTTACAGTTGTACCAAAAATAATAAAATACCTAGGAATAAACTTAACCAAAGAGGTGAAAGGCCTTTCTCTGAAAACTATAAAACATTGTTAAAAGAAATTGGAGATGACACAAACAAATGGAAAGATATTCCATGGTCAGGAATTAGAAGAACAAATATTGTTAAAATGTCCATACTACCCAAAGAATCTTCCTCAAAAAAATTAGAACTGCTTTATGACCTAGTAATCCCACTACTGGCATTTACCCAAAGAATATGAAAACACTAATTTGAAAAGATCTGTGCACCCCTGTGTTTATAGCAGCATTATTTACCATACACCAATTATGGAAGCAACTCAAGTGTCCATCAATAAATGAATGGCTAAAGAAGATGTGGTATATATATACAATGGAGTAGTATTCAGCCATAAAAAAAAAAAGAATGAAGTCTTGCCATTTGCAGCAACGTGGATGGAGCTAGAAAGTATAGTGCTAAGTGAAGTAAGTCAGAGAAAGACAAATACCATATGATTTCACTCATATGGAATTTAAGAAACAAAACAAATGAACCAAGGAGGGGAAAGATGCAAACCAAGAAACAGACTCTTAACCATAGAGGACAGACAGGGTTACCAGAGGGGAGGTCGTGGGGAGATGGGAGAAATAGAGGATAGGAATTAAGAATACAGTCATCATGATGAGCACTGAGTACTGCATAAAATTTTGAATCACTATATTGTATGCCTGAAACTGATATAACAGTGTATGTTAACTATATTGGATTAAAATAAAAAATATCTTGGGGCGCCTGGGTGGCTCAGTCGGTTGAGTGTCCGACTTCAGCTCGGGTCATGATCTCACAGTTCGTGAGTTCAAGCCCTGTGTCTGGCTCTGTGCTGACAGCTCAGAGCCTGAAGCCTTCTGATTCTGTGTCTCCCTCTCTCTGCCCCTTCCCCACTCATGCTCCGTCTCTCTCTGTCTCTCAAAAATGAATAAATGTTAAAAAAAAAAAAATTATAAATAAATAAATAAATAATACTTTAAAAAAATTATCTGGTTAAAGGGTAAAATCTCTGTGGTAGTAGTATGAGGATTTAAGTAGATTTTTTTTAACTTTTCTGTATTTATGGAATTAAAGTCAAGGATAAAAGAATATGAAGTTATTGGAAAGGTAGAAAAGTAGATTTTTTAAAAATTCTTACTGAGATTAAGTGATTGTTCCAAATCCATGCTTCCCATATACGAGATAAACTAGATACATAATGCTTTCTTCAACGTTTATTTATTTTTGGGACAGAGAGAGACAGAGCATGAACGGGGGAGGGGCAGAGAGAGAGGGAGACACAGAATCGGAAACAGGCTCCAGGCTCTGAGCCATCAGCCCAGAGCCTGACGCGGGGCTCGAGCGAGATCGTGACCTGGCTGAAGTCGGACGCTTAACCGACTGCGCCACCCAGGCGCCCCTATAATGCTTTCTTCATAGAGGTTACCAGTTCTCTCCCAAAATCAAAACCAGTTTGGACTATATATATCAAACCATTGCATAAAAATAAAGAACTTAATTGGTGTTTGCACACACGTCTATATGGACTTTAGAGAAACAGAGAAACATACTTTAGTCAATTAGCATAGTATTGAACAACTACACTCATAGGATATATCTCTCTTAGAAAGTGTGTGGAATATTCCTCATTAATTATGAGCAATTCTAAAGATTTAGAATAAAAACAGGTACATTTAAGTACCTGTGTCTTTAATTTTTCTTAAATTACTGTAGACTTATCAAAACCCACGGTATTTCTTCTGCCTATAATTATTGTTTCTTTTCCCTTTAGAATTCCTCATTACTAAATTCTCCCATTAAATGTAAGCTTTCTCTGCATCAAAAGACCGTATTTTTTTCATCTTTGCCCATAAATAGCACTTATTTTATTGATAAAGTTTATACCCTAGTTTGGCTAATTAAAAATAGAATTTTTGTGTCATTTTATTGTCTTGTTTTACTTATAATAAAAAATAGAGTTATGAAAAAGCCTATTGAAAAATTTTCTTGGTTAATATCTAGCACTTGAGCGTTTACCATGGACCAGTTACTATTCTGATCACTTTATTTGTGTTATCTGACTGAGCCAGTCAGGCGCCCCTTCACTTGTGTTATCTCATTTAATTTTCACAGCAACCTTATAGAGTAAATACTGTTATTAGTCTCATTCCACAGATGAGAAAACAGACAAAAGCAAGGGTTACACATTTAATAAAATAGTAGAAACAAGATTCTACTCAACTTAGTCTGACTTCTGAGTTTATAACTGGTAGCTGTTACTATAATGTTCCGTAGCTATTGCTATATTGTTTCAAAACAAAACAATATGTTATACTTGGCTCTTTACAAATATGTCCAACAAAATAGACATAATTTCATATGTAATATCCAGTAAATTGAAAGGAGTTTATCATAAATATTTGAGTAATTTTTTATCATCACTTTCTATAGCAACTTTTAATTCTTTCCTTATTATGAATGTTAAGTATTACCTCTCGTGAAGGAGTTATGTTCAACTTCAAATACTTCTGCTTTCATGTCCTTCATTTTATTAACATGCTGTCTTATTTAATGGGTTCTTCCGAGTAACATTACACCATATATAAGAGTAAATATGATTGTAATCATAATAGGAAATCTCATGCTTCTTGTTTAGTTTCTGTGTGCCTTTTCTATAAGCTGGTTTGTTTTTAATTTTTTTTTACTAAAGTGTAGCACAAATGCATACAAATACATAAATCTAATTGTATATTTCATTGACTTTTCACAAAGTTAATACCCATTTAACCACCATGCTGGTGAAGACATAGAACATTTACCAGAAATATGACATTGCCCCTTCCCATTAACCTTCTCACCTCCCTAGACAACTACTATCCTGACTTCTAACATTGTTTGTTCATTTGAACTGTTTTTGAATTGTATCTAAATGTACTCAAGGCACCAATTTTCTTCTGTGTCTAGCTTCTTTCACTCATGTTTGTAAGATTTCATCCATATTGTAAGTGACATGTTTATTTCCATTGCTGTATAGTATATCATTATGTGACTATCCTGCAGTTTATTCCACTTTTGGACATTTGGACGGTTTGTATTTGGGGGGTATTTGCAAATACTCAAATACTCATCACTCCACAGTATATGAGATTTCCTGATTTCCTGATACTACACATCCTTAACCACATCCTTACCTTAGTGATATCTCCATGGTGTTTTATTTTGCATTTTCTGCATGGTAAATAATATTGACTACTTTTTTATGTTTATTGGCCGTTTGGATATGACCTTGTGAAGGATGCCTGTTCCAGTTGATCTCCAGCCTGCTTTTCATTTGATTTCTCTTTTTCTTGATGATTTGTAGGAGTCATTTATATACTCTGGATGAAGCCTTTTTATGGTAAATTATTTTTTCCTTTAACATTTTACATAGGTGGAATGAATGGCTAAATTACGATATATACATTCCTGATCTTCCTCGTGCTGCTCGACTTTGCCTTTCCATTTGTTCTGTTAAAGGCCGAAAGGGTGCTAAAGAGGTAAAGTATTTCAGAAAGAATAATTATATTTACTTCTAAAAGCTCCTAATTATAACTGCTGATTTGAATTTTTATCAAGAAATGGATTTTTTCGTCATTTAAAAATTGATCAAATATTTTAAAATTTTTAATAAATGAATGTGTCTAAGAGTAAGTACCTTTGGAGAGCTTCCCGAATTTATTTATGATGAGTGAGTATTTCCTGAGTTCACACTGATACAATTTTTTAAACATGCAAAGTGACTGCACACAAATACCTGTTAAATGACGACATGCTAATGTCTTCCTGGCTTGTTTGGTTCATGTTACTTACTCATAAGTAAGGAAAATACGTGTAATTTCAAATGGGGAAACAGAGAGTGCCTATACTTTCAAAAAAATTAATATGGCTTATTATAGATATCATTGTAATGATTAGTTATTGAATTCTTTCTGGGAAAGAAAAGTGTTTTGAAATGCATTTTATAATTTAATCCACAGAGTAGTGAATACTTTTCTCTGTGTTTTTTAAGGAACACTGTCCATTGGCCTGGGGAAATATAAACTTGTTTGATTACACAGATACTCTAGTATCTGGAAAAATGGCTTTGAATCTTTGGCCAGTACCTCATGGATTAGAAGATTTGCTGAACCCTATTGGTGTTACTGGGTCAAATCCAAATAAAGTAAGCTTTTTATTATCATAAGTTAGAATTTTTCTTTCATTACAGTCAAGCATAATATATATGATAACTTTTATTCCATCTCTTAGGAAACCCCATGCTTAGAGTTGGAGTTTGACTGGTTCAGCAGTGTGGTAAAGTTCCCAGATATGTCAGTGATTGAAGAGCATGCCAACTGGTCTGTGTCTCGAGAAGCAGGATTTAGTTATTCCCATGCAGGACTGGTAAGGCAAATCACTGAGTTTTCTTAGCTCCTATGGGCTCTCAGACGGTATTGCGATATAATCCCATTCTCCATATGCTAATACTTTTACTGCAGCTCTTCCTCTTCTTAGTTTATTGAGCCCTCCTGCTTTCACTTAATAAGTATTTATTGAATGTAAACTATATGTTTATATTTATTGTATGAAAGGTACTGAGTAATAAAGTTGTGACCTAAAGAGACCTCCATTGTGTATGCAGTCTAATGGTAAAAATAGACATCAGAGTGGTAAAATCAGAAGTAAAAGATTATAAATCATGGTTAAGTGCTATGAAGCAAAAGTCAATAGTGTGCCAAGAATGACTACAGAGGGTGGGGGGGAAAAGCTAATATATATTGGATTCAAGAAAGAACTTATTTCTCTGAGATAGTAACTTTGAAGTTGAAACAAAAGTATGAGTATGTTGTTAGTTGAGCTTGGAAGCAGAGGAAATAACTTTACCACCATACTCCAGATTGCCTAGAGAAATTACATATAAAATGGAGTTTAAATATGGATCAAGTTGTCTCATCTTGGCCATTACTTTGGAACCACCATATACCTGGGTTTAAGAACCACTAACTGTCTACTATATCTCAAGGGCAAAGGTGTCAGTGCTAGGAGAAAAGGTTATTTTTGCTCTTTGTTGTCTCTTTCCCTAGTTCCAAATTTATCACTTTTTCTTTGGCCTGGTTTTACATTAAGATAGACCAATCAATTAATATGGGGTCAAGAGGTCCTGAAATATGCCTACCTGAATAATGGCAATACCCAGGGCCAGCTAGAATCCTGCACTGAGAAACTTTATTAGTTTACAGCTATGTTCTCAGTAAGGAGTTTACAAATCCCTTTTGTAAACTGATTAATAATAATCATAACCGGGGTGCCTGGGTGGCTCAGTCGGTTAAGCATCTGACTTCAGCTCAGGTCATGATCTCACAGTTCATGGGTTCAAGCCCCGCACCAGGCTCTGTGCTGACAGCTCGGAACCTGGCCTGCTTTGGATTCTGTGTCCCCTTCTCTCTCTGCCCCTCGCTCGCTCACTCGCTCTCTGTCCCTCTCATAAATAAATAAACATTAAAAAAAGAATCATAATCATAACCTTCCTGCCTGTATATACTTTCAGACACATGTAGCAGGCATTTTGGTAAGTACAAATTAATTTAAAATCATCACTGAATTCTATCAGATACTGAAAGTACAATTAACTTTTTTCACATTAAAAAGGAATTAATTGGGCACCTGGGTGGCGCAGTCGGTTAAGCGTCCGACTTCAGCCAGGTCACGATCTCGCGGTCCGTGAGTTCGAGCCCCGCGTCGGGCTCTGGGCTGATGGCTCAGAGCCTGGAGCCTGTTTCCGATTCTGTGTCTCCCTCTCTCTCTGACCCTCCCCCGTTCATGCTCTGTCTCTCTCTGTCCCAAAAATAAATAAACGTTGAAAAAAAAAAAATTTTTTAAAAAAAAAGGAATTAATTTTCTTGGGGCACTTGGGTGGCTCAATCCATTAAGCGTCTAGCTCTTGATTTCAGCTCAGGTCATGAGCTCACAGTTAGTGGGATTGAGCCCTGTGTCAGGCTTCATGGTGAGAGTGCAGATCCTGCTTGGGATTCTCTCTTTTCCCTGTCTCTCTGCCCCTCCCCTGCTTGTGCTGTCTCTCTCAGAATGCATAAACTGTTTTTTAGAAAAGGAATTCTTTTTCTTGAAAAATGTAGCTACTATTTTGTCAGTTTAATTTCTTGTTGATAATTGCTGACATTTGTCGAGTGCTTACTGTGTACCAAAAGTCATACCAATCACTTTTTCACATTTTATCTCATTTAACCTCAAAAGCAGTCTCTATGAAGGTAGGTACTATTATAATCCCTGTTTTACCAGTAAGGAAACAGGCTGAAGTTTAACTTCTCCAATGTCACTGTTTAATAAGTATTGAGCCTCTCACTCTTAACTCTTCTGCTATAACTGAACAGGAACTCCTTAATTTTGAAATTGGGATTGAAATATTGATGAGCATTCATTCCCATAAAATGTCCATAGTCCTGTCTGATTAGGTATACCTATAAACCATTTGAATTATCAGAGTCAAGTTCACTTTAAAACTCATTGATTTCCTATTTTATTCATACATTCATCACTGAATTCAGTTTACCATCAGAGTCTGTTGTGCCAGTTAGCTTTTGACATTTTGTTTTGTTTTCTTTTTTGAGCAGTTCTAACTCTTTGTAAGGATTAATATTTTATTACTCTTTTCTTTCTGGGAAGAATTTTTTCTTTAAAGGAAAAAGAAAAACTTTTTATTTTTGTTATAGAATAAAACTGGGTCAGTTTTTCAGTTACCATTGGGTCTGTTGAAAACTTTTATAAATCTAGGATACAAATGATACCCCAAAGGTCCTGGGAGGTAGAGGGGACAAATTCACCCCAGTTGAGAACCACTACTCCAGTCTCTAATGTTGACAGTAAATTGATCATATAGGTTAAACATCAGGTAACAATATCTTAGATGAATTTTCTCAAACTCAAGAAATGGTGAGTGAACAACATATTTCCAAGAACAAAAAGGAAATGTGATATTCACAGTCATTCAACAGGAATAACCTCATCACACAATATTTTTTTTACAAGAACCTGGACCATGCCTTATCCTTCTTCCAGTTTTAATGATGCTGTACACTAAAATTTACCTGATACACTTTTTAAGTGAAGAAACATCACAGGCAAGTGTGTATACAAAGATGATTGAAGGAAAAAGGTGACGTAGAAATTTTTTAATTTCTTGGATTACTGTCCGAGTTTTCAAAAGTAATACATTTTGACAATTCAAGTACAAGAAGAAAAACCAGAAGTAATGATAAGCTAGAACTTATTAGCTATCTATTTGAAATTAGGAATCAGTATATACTGATAAATTATGTATGTTCCAGGCTTTTGCATGACCATTGATGAGCAAGGAGTTAGTGGCATTCAAAGTATGTTGCCCATTTTGGATTATGAATTTAGTTTTACTGTGTTTAAATTCTTTTTTTTAATGTTTTATTTTTGTTTATTAATGGTTTTTAATGTTTTATTTTTGAGTGAGAGAGAGAGTGAGAGAGACAGTGTGAGTGCAGGAGGGGCAGAGAGAGAGGGAGACATAGAGTCCGAAGCAGGGTTCAGGCTCTGAGCTGTCAACATAGGTAGAGCCCATTGCATGGCTTAAGCCCATGAGTCCACTTGTGAGATCATGACCGGGGCCGTAGTTGGACGCTCAACCAACTGAGCCACCCAGGCTCCCCTACTGTGTTTAAATTCTTAATAAGATGTCTAATAAAATTGTTTTTCACAATTCTTTTTCACAAAGCTTTTTCACAAAGCTTTTTCACAGTTGTTTATTCTGTAAGTTATTTTGAATTAAAAGTAAAAGCAGATAAAAATAAGCAAATAATATTGAGTACATTAGACCAAGATGATAAATGATAATGACAAATGACAATGATGACTTTTCCTGGTGAATTGAGGGTTAAGTATTTATTATCTCTTACCTGGAGTATTATAATAGCCTAAATGGTCTTCCTCAGTCCACAGAGCAGCCAGAATAACCTTTATGAAACAAATCAAATCATGATATTCATCTTTTAAATAGCTTTCACTAAAAAAAAAAAAAAAAAAAATCCAGACATTTCATCCTGATTTGCAAGTTTTACATGCTCTGAACAGACCTCCTGTCTCTCCTCCCCCTCATCTACTAGGCTTCAGGCTTACAGATCTTCCTGCCAAACTCCTCTCCTTGGGTCACTTTCACTGTTTCCTCCATCTGCAGTTGTCTTTTCCTTCATCTAAGTGTGGATGGCTCTTTCTTGTCATTTGGATCACAAACTAAATATTCCCTTCTCAGAGGCCATTTCCAAACACCCAGTGTGACATGCCCACTCAGTCATTCTCCGTTACATCACCCAGAGTATATCAACTCTCGAATATTTTTCTTATTTGCTCATTGAATTTTTTCACTATAATGGACGCCCTGTTAGTGCAGGTTCTTTTATTATTTAAGACCCCAGCAGGAAGAACAAAACAAGGCACAGAGTACATGTTTTAATATTTGTTGATGGACATGTGCCAATGATATTTCTGTGAACTATTATATAAAAACAATATTTAAGTGTTAGTATAATGTTAACAAATGTTAATAAAAACCAAGTAGCATGGATGCCTGCTTTCATTTTTAGCCATTGGGGATATGTGTAACCCATTCGAAGGAATGTATATGTTTTCATAATAAATTAATATAAATTCAGAATTATTCATTATGCAGTTAATATATCTGTATTTAAAGGAAATAAATACATTACTTGGAATCTTGGAATTATACTCAAAGTTATAATGTTTTCATTTTAGTTTCTGAACACTTAACGTTCAGTGTTTTAATAGGGGTTTTTCTTTTCCTTTTTCTCTTATTTTTACCTTTTAAATTTGAAAGCCTTGCAGTGATTATAAGGATATACTCAAGCAAAGATTAGGAATAAAATAAATTCTTAGGAAAGAATTTACATTTTTATTTTATTATTTTACTATTGTTTATTTACATTCCAGAAACATGAGCAGATTAGTTAATAGAATACTAGGAAGGGGCCTCACCAGTAAGACAAATTATTTACTGCTACCCCCTAGTATCCCAGTCTGGGCTTATCCTTGACTAATTTGGCAGTTACTGTTCTGTGGTTGGTGGTAATGTTAACTTAGTAAGATACTGGATTTGTTCCACAAATACTGCCTTAAGTTGATTCTTTCCTGTCCCTGAAAATAAAGTCTTGTGATGAGAATAAACTGTTTCACAACAGTTAATAAGCAATGTAAAGTTATTGGCACTTTTCTTTTTTTGTAGATCACTCATGAATCCAGGGGAAAATATGGCAAAGAAAATCATATAAGATATTACTTTATTTTACAGAGTAACAGACTAGCTAGAGACAACGAATTAAGAGAAAATGATAAAGAACAGCTCCGAGCAATTTGTACCCGAGATCCTCTATCTGAAATCACTGAGCAAGAGAAAGATTTTCTGTGGAGCCACAGGTAAATGTTAAAATGGAGATTCCCTGTTTCTTCTATTAAGGAGAAAGAACTGATTTTGGCTTATCTTACAGATTCTGTCATACCTGTTAAAGTACATAAAGCATAATTTACATGACTTTTTTATTATAAACATTATTCTTTTTAAAGCTGTGGATGAGGATCAGTATTTCTAGCAAACCACGCTCCTTTGGTACTCACCTTGAATCTTAAACCCTTGAAGCCTTTTTTAAAATTCTAAATCCCTAATAGCACTTTTTTAGGATTTGGTTTTTGGAGCTTTTTTTAATGAAATTCAAGATCCAAAAAAAAAACTAGTAGTTTTAGATCAATTTAGTTGTGATTTAGTTGGTCTAGATATTTCCATTTTAAGGCATTCCTTCCATTTTTTTTTTCTTATACCTCCTCAAAGTAATAGTGCAGTGCTTTATTTTCACTTATGAAGAAATTATCCCACCACTTGGAAAGTATACAGTGGTTTATTTAAATAAAGCAGTTGCAGTGCATTTCTGCAGAAATTTTGTCCAGCGACTTAACAGTAGAACTGGTGACTCTTTGCATGGTTTCTGTTGCATAAGTAGGTAAATTAAAAGAGCTATATAAAGAGTGTTATGAGGGGCGCATGGGTGGTTCAGTCGGTTGAGCGTCCGACTTCAGCTCAGGTCACGATCTCGTGGTCCGTGAGTTTGAGCCCCGCGTCAGGCTCTGGGCTGATGGCTCAGAGCCTGGAGCCCGCTTCCGATTCTGTGTCTCCCTCTCTCTCTGCCCCTCCCCCGTTCATGCTCTGTCTCTCTCTGTCTCAAAAATAAATAAATGTTAAAAAAAAGTGTTATGAAATAAAATCATAATTTTTTCTAAGTATTTGTCTTCCATTTGGATTTTTCTTTTGTCTTCCGTGCCATTATAACTATGTCTAAGGATACATGTACGTATATATGCAACTATAGTGTTAAACACTGATTTCTTTTGATTTTAAGGAAGGCTAGTAATGGTGAGTTTTAAAAGTGTTTGGAACTTCTTAAAGATTACATAGTTGAAGATTTAGATATGTAGGCCTTTTGAATAACATGCAGAAATGTTTTTTGTTTTGTTTTGTCTTTTCCACACAGACACTATTGTGTAACTATCCCTGAAATTCTACCCAAACTGCTTCTGTCTGTTAAATGGAATTCTAGAGATGAAGTAGCTCAGGTAAATGCATGTTGGAGATTACGGAATAACTGTTGTATAAAATTGGTATGTTGTTCAAATCATTTTCTCTCAGAAAGTCTGCATAAATGTAAGAGGTGAAATAGACTATGTTTTATATTAATAATGGTAATATGGTGGAGAAAAATACCATTCAAACTGCTTCTACTGATAAAATTAATTAGAATTGAACATTTTAAGCACTGAATTCATGAGAAGAGCTCTTATCTAAACCAATTTTAAAATAAGAAATTAAGACAGTGTCTTAACAGCATTCACTCACAACTATCCTATGCTTTTTAAATACGATTTATTGTCTTTCTTATAACAGATGTACTGCTTAGTAAAAGATTGGCCTCCAATCAAACCTGAACAGGCAATGGAGCTTCTGGATTGTAATTACCCAGATCCTATGGTTCGAGGTTTTGCTGTTCGATGCTTGGAAAAATACTTAACAGATGACAAGCTTTCTCAGTACTTAATTCAGCTAGTACAGGTAAAATAATGTAAAATAGAAAAATAGTGTTTTATTCTAAATCTGTGCAACTTTACCCAAACCGTGGATCTTTATCTACCCTGGTTTTATGCTTTTTTAAAAATCAGTTTTATTATCAGTAGTGACTACTTGCTTTCTAAAAAATTCTCTGTAGATCTAACCATGCAAAAACTGACCCTGATTAACGCAAAGTTGTTTTTATGTTTGTGTTTAATCACATAGGTCCTAAAATATGAACAGTATTTGGATAACCTGCTTGTGAGATTTTTACTCAAGAAAGCATTGACTAATCAAAGGATTGGGCACTTTTTCTTTTGGCATTTAAAGTAAGTCATGCTATTTTCCCATTAAATTCTTAGGTATATATTACTTGCTTTCTTAATAGATCTATAAATATTCGTTACTTATATACTGTTGTTTTGTTTGTCTGGAAGACTATTCCATAATGAAAGTATATTTGTAAGCTTCCCCTCAGATTTTTTTCATTTAAAAAAAAATTTTTTTTTAATGTTTATTTATTTTTGAGACAGAGACAGAGCATGAACGGGAGGGGCAGAGAGAGAGGAAGGCACAGAATCCAAAGCAGGCTCCAGGCTCTGAGCTGTCAGCACAGAGCCCAACGCAGGGCTCGAACTCACGAACCGTGAGATCACGACCTGAGCTGAAGTCAGACGTTCAACCGACTGAGCCACCCAGGCTCCCCTCGCCTCAAATTTTTAAATAAGCAATAAAATTCAAACTGAATTTTATACAGAAATTAGAGCTGAAATATTTTTAAAGACTTATATTTTTCTTTAAGCAAAACAAAATTTGCTAGATTAATATTATTTAATATTGCAGTTGGTTTCATTGTATGTGTGGATTAAAATACCCAAAATTAAAAAAAAGATCCTACCTCAGAATTCAGAACAATAATATAAAAATCCCAAGTTTCTTACTAGAAAACAAGCAAACAAGCTAATTAAGAATAAAAAGTATTTTGTACAATATGATCTAATACTCAGTGTCATCACAAGTCATACACTGTTTTCTAAATTTAGAAAGATTTAAAATTAACTTGATATCTTTATAATTAACTTGATTTTTTTAATGTTAAAATGAATCAAAGGTGGAATTTTGAAGCTAGGTCTAAAATAACTTAAATTCAAAGACAGTATAGAAAAGGTGCATGTATGCCAGAAGAGTTAAATAGTACTCACTGAGCTCTTCACTCCCTCCCTATTCGTTTTATTACTTTTGTGCCTAATTTACTTTTTTTTCATGTTTATATTTTTTTTAAGTTTTTATTTAAATTCCAGTTAACATGCAGTGTGTATTAGTTTCAGGTATATAGTATGTACAATGTGGTGATTAAGCACTTCCATACAATACCCAGTGCTCATCACAGCCAGTGCTCTCCTTAATCCCCATGCATCTAACCCATCCCCCCACCCCCACCCCCACTCACCTCCTCTCTGGTAGCCATCAGTTCTATATAGTTAATAGATTTTGTGCTGACATTAGTAAATGAAAAGTAGTTGAAATAGGCCTAAAATCTAGTTTATTAAATTCACAATTCCAGGAATGATCTTAAACTCTTGATTATTTTTGCTTACAAGTGATAGGTTTTGAATCACTTTATTGTTAGTATGATTATAACATTTATTGGATTTCAGAAATGGGTTTTCTTATTTTCTTAAAAGCGATTATATACGTATACTCATTTAAGACCACATAGGGGCACCTGGGTGGCTCAGTCGGTTAAGCATCTGATTTTGGCTCAGGTCATGATCTTGTAGTTTGTGGGTTCAAGCCCCACATCAGGCTCTGTGCTGACAGCTCAGAGCCTGGAGCCTGCTTCAGGTTCTGTGTCTCCCTCTGTCTCTGCCCCTCCCCCATTTGCACGTGTGTGTGTGTGTGTGTGTGTGTGTGTGTGTGTGTGTGTGCGCGCGCACTCTTTCTCTCAAAAATATTAAATAATTTTTTTAACAGTAAACATTTAAAAATTTTTAAAGGACCATGTATATATATATAATGTGTGTGCGCATCTGTGCACGTGCGTGTGTGTGTGTGTGCGCGCGCGCACTCTCTTTCTCTCAAAAATATTAAATAATTTTTTTTTTAATTTTTTTTTTCAACTTTTATTTATTTTTGGGACAGAGAGAGACAGAGCATGAAGGGGGGAGGGGCAGAGAGAGAGGGAGTCACAGAATCGGAAGCAGGCTCCAGGCTCTGAGCCATCAGCCCAGAGCCTGACGCGGGGCTCAAACTCACGGACCGCGAGATCGTGACCTGGCTGAAGTCGGACGCTTAACCGACTGCGCCACCCAGG